CCATGGTCTAGCTAGCTAGCTTTTGTTAATGTGAAGTTAATGTGATTGGTTGATTCCACTGTCACTCCAACATTTTGCCCTAATACATTTGAATGGTAGATGCCTTCTATCAAGCTTCTGAAGGCCTAGCCAATGGCTTACTTAGCTAGCTAGATTTATCTCTCCATAGAACACTAAATAAAAATTCTGATTGGATCTTTTTTTCTCTTCTCTTTCCTTTCTAACAAAAAACTGAAGAGATTAAATCAGAACATAATTGAAAAGAATAATATAATAATTATTAATGTTATTATTTTATAAATCCTTAGCCTTTCTCTGAAAGCGTAGAAGGCCCACATTGTTCCCCACTGTGTTTGGGTTAGTAATATTTTGTAGAGTGGCTCTATTTGCCCTGAGCATGCATTTTTTCACCATTCTAAATTTCTAAAGAATCTATATGTTCTTCTGAAATATGATCACAGAAATACTGGACATTTTGAACTCTTATTATGTTGGTGATTTGACAAAATTACAATGAAGGTCTCGGACCCCTTGACCCCCTCCCGGTCTTGGTCTTGAATCGGTAAATGAGATCTGGTGCAACCAATTACCTTCAGAAGTCACATAATTAGTTAAATAAAGTCCACCTGGGTGCAATCTAAGTGTCACATGATCTCAGTATATATACACCTGTTCTGAAAGGCCTCAGAGTCTGCAACACCACTAAGCAAGAGCCACCACCAAGAGTCTCAAACAGGTCAGGGACAAAGTTGTGGAGAAGTACAGATCAGGGTTGAGTAATAAAAAAGTATCAGAAACTTTGAACATCCCACGGAGCACCATTGAATCCATTATTAAAAAATTTAAAGAATATGGCACCACAACAAACCTGCCAAGAGAGGGCCGCCCACCAAAACTCACGGACCAGGCAAGGAGGGCATTAATCAGAGAGGCAACAAAGAGACCAAAGATAACCCTGAAGGAGCTGCAAAGCTCCACAGCGGAGATTGGAGTATCTGTCCATAGGACCACTTTAAGCCGTACACTCCACAGAGCTGGGCTATACAGAAGAGTGGTGAGAAAAAAGCCATTGCTTAAAGAAAAACAGAAGCAAACACGTTTGGTGTTCGCCAAAAGGCATGTGGGAGACTCCCCAAACAAACACTAAAATTGAGCATATGGAAGAAGGTACTCTGGTCAGATGAGACTAAAAGTGAGCTTTTTGGCCATCAAGGAAAACGTATGTCTGAAGCAAACACAACACCTCTTATCACCCTGAGAATACCATCCCCACAATGAAGCATGGTGGTGGCAGCATCATGCTGTGGGGATGTTTTTGTTCGTCAGGGACTGGGAAACTGGTCAGAATTGAAGGAATGATGGATGGCGCTAAATACAGGGAAATTCTTGAGGGAAACCTGTTTCAGTCTTCCAGAGATTTGAGACTGGGACGGAGGTTCACCTTCCAGCAGGACAATGACCCTAAGCATACCGCTAAAGCAACACTCGAGTGGTTTAAGGGGAAACATTTAAATGTCTTGGAATGGCCTAGTCAAAGCCCAGACCTCAATCCAATTGAGAATCTGTGGTATGACTTAAAGATTGCTGTACATCAGCGGAACCCATCCATCTTGAAGGAGCTGGAGCAGTTTTGCCTTGAAGAATGGGCAGAAATCCCAGTGGCTAGAAGTGCCAAGCTTATAGAGACATACCCCAAGAGACTTGCAGCTGTAATTGCTGCAAAAGGTGGCTCTACAAAAGTATTGACTTTAGGGGGGTGAATTGTTATGCACGCTCACGTTTTCTGTTTTTTTTCTTGTTTGTTTCACAAAAAAATATATTTTGCATCTTCAAAGTGCTAGGCATGTTGGGTAAATCAAATGATACAAACTCCCCAAATATATTTTAATTCCAGGTTGTAAGGCAACAAAATAGGTAATATGCCAAGGAGGGTGAATACTTTCTCAAGCCACTGTACGTGCATGAATTGATGACCTCTTGATGACATGTTGCAACACAGTACGCACACACACTAAACCATTTGGCAAAATATACTGAACAAAAATATAAACGCAACATGCAACAATTTCAAAGATTTTACTGAGTTACAGTTTATAAAAAGAAATCAGTCAATTGAAATAAATTAATTAGGCCTTCAACTGGATTTCACATGACTGGGAATACAGAAATGCATCTGTTGGTCACAGATACCTTAAAAGAGGGTAGGGGCGTGGATCAGAAAACCAGTCAGCATTTGGTGTGACCACCATTTGCCTCATGCAGTGTGACACATCTCGTTGTCCATAGCTAATGCCTGCCCACACCATAACCCCACCTCCACCACGGGGCACTCTGTTTACAATGTTGACATAAGCAAACTGCTCGCCCACACAATGCGGTTGTGAGGCCGGTTGCACATACTGCCAAATTCTCTACAACGACGTTGGAGGCGGCTTATGGTAGATAAATTAACATTTACTGTAATTCTCTGGCAACAGCTCTGGTGGACATTCCTGCAGTCAGCATGCCAAATGCACGCTCCCTCAAAACTTAAGACATCTTGGCATTGTGTTGTGTGAGAGAACTGCACATTTTAGAGTGGCCTTTTATTGTCCCCAGAACAATGTGCACCTGTGTAATGATCATGCTGTTTAATCAGCTTCTTGATATGCCACACCTGTCAGGTGGATGGATTAGCTTGGCAAAGAATAAATGCTCATTAACAGGGATGTAAATAAATTTGAGAGAAATAGGCTTTTTGTGCATATGGAAACTTTCAGGGATCTTTTATTTCAGCTCATGAAACATGGGACCAATACTTTTGTGTTTATATTGTTGTTCAGTGTATATAACAAGCACTTATAGTGTTATTAATGCTTATACTGTAGCAAGTCTTGTAATACATTATGAGTGTGAATAAAGGGGCTGATGTTTATGCATCATGGACAGGTTCATAATTACACTAAGTAAGTTTCATGTGTAAAAGCTTAGAAACATTTTCATAGCTGTAAGCATGCTACACTTTCAATAATACTGGTATGGCCCTCTATTAAAGAACTAGAGAACCCAACATGGTCAGAGGAAGGCAATAACCTGTGGCTTCATAAAGTTTCCTACCACAAGGTTTCAACATAAAACGTAAGCTTGCATTTACTCACACCCTCACATTATATGGAGATAGATTTCTATGGAAACAGGGCTTTAGTAATAGTGTAGCAAGCCCAAAGTCACTACTGTAGTAGTAGTACTAGTAGTAGTAGTAGTAGCAGTAATAGTAGTTTTGTACGAGGAGGAAGAATGACAAGTGAGAACTGAGGATGTCTAAAATGTATCAATGGATCTGCAAAAACGGATCCATAAAAGTCACAAATGTAGTCTGTGGAGATGCAAAATCAAGACTGTAAATATATAAATAGTAAGTTCTGTGTAAATGTATAAAAGTCTCTATCAAGCATTTATGTATGGTAAGACAATCAATCATCTGGGATTAGCAACCAATTGCTATGCATTTGCACTTAAAGAAGCTTCCCTGATTTATTTTCCCAACTTCTTTCCAAATGTGCATGTTTTATGTCATTGGATGATACACAAAATGACTAGAAAAGTAAAATATTGGCAGACTATGGACAAGTAAAACTGAACGTTATTTTTTCCAGCAATGTTACAGTAAATATATTTTGCCTACCTGATAAGTAGAATGAAAGGGGTATTATCCAATCCATTGTCATGCTCCCATGGACCGCGAATGGAAGGAGAGGTCTGAGTTCTGAGGTCTTATAGTTGTGTCAGTTTGAGAAGAGGAACTTGAAAAAGAGGAAATGGCTTCGGTTACACATTTCCAAGTAGCAGCTGAACTGATGGAGTGAAAGGCCTCCAATATTTAATCCAATGTTTTCCACTCTCTCGCCATTTGGCTTTCCACCTTTCTCTTGCCATATAACACGATTCCCCAATAGGCGGCCCGCGGGCCAAATTCGGCTCGCAGGTGATTTTATTTGGGGAAAAAACAATAACAAATGTTTTTGTTTTTTGTTTTTTTTACATAAAATACTGTAAAATCACCAAGAAACCAAGAAAAAGTATTCCCACGCATAAATAGAGAGGCATATGTGATGGTATCTCACTGTAATCAAGGTTTGAAATTATTCTGTTTTGCCAAATAATATATATTTTTGGGTCAATTTGCAGTGTACAACCATCCGCTCAAGGAAAATTTGGGCGACGGCTGAAAGTAATTGGGGACCCCTGCCATTTAACATCCCTCTCTTTCTCTCACTTTCTGTCTGTCTTTGTCTCTCTTTGTCAACACCCCCCCCCCCCCCCCCCCCCCCCCCCCCCTCGCTAAAGATGGCAATGTTGTAATCTACTATAGCTCAATTGGCCTTCTTGTTTTGTCAATATATCTGTTTTGCTACTCTTTATCTGTTGTGGTAAAGGTTTACAAGTTTGAGGATCATGATGATGATGATTATTATTATGAAGATGATTATGATTAAGCACTTTTATTTGGATACTTTTGTATGCACATTCTTGCCCAATGAATGTATGTAATCAACAGAATATACAACCTTCTTTTTACAGACTCACTTGTGCTTTCATAACAGCCCTATGTTGAGCTCAACTGCTGTGCCATCTATTTGCTGTTAACTGCTCGTATCACCCGGTGGATATTCTTGATAATATTTACCTTAATTTCTATTATTACTATTATAATTTCTTACAAATGCCTTATTCTTATTAATTGTCTCAAAGAGAGGTGTGTCTCCACTATGCCTCTTTGTTACTGATGTGCCTTCTTGTTTGCTAAAGTGCATTGTCCAGTGAGACTGGTGTTGAGAAAAGCCTTTGAGCTGGAATGTCGACATTAAACAGTCTCCACTCTTCTTGTTTTTTTTTTCTATGGTAATACTTACTGGCGTCTAACAGTACATTCTAAATAAATAGGAAGTAGTCATTGCGCCAAGCAGGCAGTTCAATTATGTTGTGTAAATTGTCAGTTAATATGAAATAAAATAAGGAAGGCAAAGCAACATATTGTTTATTCCGTAGCTCCAGTACAAACATTATACTGAGTTAGGTGTCACAGACCCAGGAGTAATATTACATGTTGTGTAAAAACATGACGATGGGAATCTCTTCACCTAAAAAATGTGTAAAATGGTAGGGAGAGGGTATGGAGGCAGAACACATTTTTTTGTAATCTTCTCTCTGAAGCAAGAGCCCAAAGAAAGGTTTCCGTTTCTCTCTCTTTCTCCGTACTGAGGTACCGAATGAGTGATGTTGCAAAGGGTCTTGTAGAGACGGCTTCTTAGGAGGTGCCGGATAAGACATGGCACTCCCCATGTGGGGGAGGGAGGAGGGGACAGGGAGGTGGGTGGAGGGGACAGGGAGGTGGGGGGAGGGTTAGGAGAGGGATACTGGTGAGTGTCCATGCTTAATAAGCGTGGTTGGCCACGAACAGTGATTCTCCAGCGGCGGCGCTGTCTCCGGAAGCGACGTACTTGCCTTGGCAGGCCAGGCTGTTGGCCTGTGGAAGGAAAGAAGAACAACATAAGAACAACATAAACTTGTTTTCTGCTGATATTTTCTAAGTGTGGAATTTACATTGTGGCTTCCTATATGTCCATAATATAAACATGTGGCCTCTGTCCAGCCATAAATAATCGCATATGAAATATGAGCAAAATATATGAAATATATAATTTTTTTTATATATAATGCCAAATATATGACAATCATATATGAAATATATGCCAAATCTATTCAAATACATTTGAAAAATATATTTGGTTATTTGTACCAGAGCTCTCTTGATGAATTCCTCCTGTGCAGCCTTGCCGTTCGCAGGCTTTCCACCCCATGCCTTCAGGGCGGATGCCTGGAGGGCACGGCCATAGGAAAAAGTTAATGCCCATGGCCTGTGCAGGGGACACTGGTTCATGACGTTCAGGTTGATGGATGCCTCCTCCTCAGACTGGCCACCGGACAGGAAGGTGATGCCTGTGGGTGAAGAGGGGAAGAAGAGAGGTTATTTTATTGTAAAAACCTACTTAAAGAATATACAACAACACATTGTATACTTCACATACAACACAATTGTATGTGAAATATACACTATAATAAAACATATAATAATGTAACTACATACTGCATGTGAAAGTGCCATTTTCATGGAGAGTGTGTTTGTGTTTGTGAAAACGTGTCATAACATCGAGTGTGAGAGGGTGAAGGTGGATGTTTAGAAATGTATATGTGTATCGTGCTGTATATTGTGCTGTATTCAGTGTGTTGTTGGCCGCTCACCAGGAACTGCTGGGGGCACGGTGCGGCGCAGGGCGGTGACTGTGGCCATGGCGATCTCCTGGTGGGTGTACTTGTGTGAGCAGGAGTGTCCGGCAGTGACCATGTTGGGCTTCAGGAGGGTACCCTCCAGGTAGACGTGGTGGTCGGACAGAGCCTTGTACATTGCGGCCAGGACCTTCTCAGTCACATACTGGGTGCGCTTCAGGTCATGGTCACCGTCGGGGAGGATCTCGGGCTCAACAATCGGGACAATGCCGTGCTAGAAGAGAGGAGAGGTCATGAGTACTAAAAGACACTTTTAGCCAATGGAGCATGTTGTTGACCATGACAGTTAACAGTCCGAACTGTGAAACTTTAGTGGTGGGTGGCTCTCTTCCTATCTTTCCTCTCTATCCCTCTACAGCAGGGTTGGGCAACTTTGATGGGGGTGGGTGGCCCCCCTCTTGACAATGGAGAGACATTTATTTAGTTTTAGTTTTAAAGTTTGCTGCAATTCTACACATTTAGCCATGGAGCAGAGAGAAGATTTTGCCATTTTTAATATGATATATGAGTGAGACTGACTACCAAAATCAACAGGGCCCCCCCGGCCGGTAATTCAACCATGATAACAAGTTTAAATAGCTGGCCGCTAAATTAACTTAGCAATCAAAAAAATAAATGCTGACATGGGCTAATTGACTATCGGTGACTGACGTAACAAGAGAAAAACTGCTGATTCACAACCAAATACACTTAGTTTATTTTACTATTCTAACTCGCAAGAGTAAGTTGAAACCCTGACTGCCGGGGGCCGCCAGTTGCCCATCCCTGCTCTACACTTATCTAAAAAATAAATAAATAAAGTGTTTTCTGATACTGTGATTTAAAAAAAAGTTTAATAATTTCTGAGGAATTTATAAGCATTTAATAGATTTATAATTGCTTATTTCATGAAAGTTTATATAAAGTGTAACCCATTTGTTTCAAGAGAGTCAATGATTCTAAGGTAACTTGAGGGCCATAGGATAATTGAACCCACAACTTTGCCATTGTTGGCACTGTGCTTTAACTACCTGAGCTAATGAACTAACAAGACCACTGAGGCCTTAAGAAAGGGTATTTGTTGTGTGATTCTTACCATCTGGCAGATACTGGCATAACGAGCCAAGACATTACAATTCTCCATGATGGCCAGGCGGGAGGGGGTGGTGGAGGTGATCTTCAGCACACAACGCCACTTGGCAAAGTCACAACCGTCCTTCTTGTACTGGGCGCAACGCTCATACAGGCCATCCAGACCTGACAAAGAAATGTATTGAGGCAGGGAGAGAAAATTGGTTCTGGCTCACACAAGCCAAGGCTACTAAGTATTTAATCTAGGTTGGAATAATATAAAAACCATTTTTGAACTTATATACAAATGATTGTATGTTGTTGTACTGTATGTCTGTATGCCCATTAGTTGGGAATGCCATTGATTCTTCCTATTCTTCCTCCTTACCCTGGGTGGTGGTCTCTCCGTTGGTTCCGGCGAGGGGGACGACACCTTTGTCAACCTTGATGCCTACAACCCAGCCTCTGGACTTGACGTGCTCGGGGAAGGTCTTGCCGGCATCGGTCTTCTGGTACAGGGTCTCGTGGAAGAAGATGACGCCACCAATGCAAGGACCGGCGCGCTCGTCGGCGGTGAAGAGGAGCTGACGGTACAGCCTCCTGTTTTCCTCAGTGTTCTCAGCATTGATGCTCTGGAAGCGCTTGGCAACGCTGCCTGTTGGGGGGAAAGAGTGATAGGGAGTGAGGGTTAGACTCACAGAATGAAATAGAACAAATATTATGTTATATCTCTATGGTTAAACTGAATTCCGAATTTACACAATTCAGTAGTTCAATTGTCCTTAGCCATCTGAATGAAATAAAATTAACTTGAACTGAACTATGAAATGGTGGCTTATTGGAAGTAGCATTTCAAGCTGAAGTGTGGTATTCCTTATTGGTTCTCATGAGGTGTTTTGGAGAAGTTATAATAAGGTGAAAAAACACTCATTGTATACATTGTGACAATGTAGTTGTTCTGATTATGAGTATGTCTTTGCATGTCATACAATATTTGTGCCTTTTCTTTCCATAGGTGTGTGTCTGTGTGTGTGTGTTAACATTGTGTGTGCAACCAGTTTGTGTTGGCCAGCTTTGCGTACCGGTAGACTCGTCAGCGGCGAGGATTCCCTTGCCCTTGGCGACGATCTTGAGAGCGATGTCACTGAGCTCCTTCTTCTGGTCAGGAGTGAGGAAGGGGAATGCGTGAGGCATTTTGACTCTGACCAGTGAGGAAGAGAAAGAGGGGGGAGACACTGGTTAACATTCTGAGTGGAGAGAGAGGGCTTGAGATACACAGAACGCATACAGAAATAGATAAGTAGCAAATAAACAAAGGTAGACTTAAACAAAGGTATATTTCATGAAAAGCAGTCAGTGACGTGAAAAGAGTGTAGACTACTTTCACCGTAAAATTACAGTATGTGAAAAGGTTCAAAGAAAAGGGAAGTAAGCTATGGATGCAGGAAGTGGCAAGTATTTGCGTCTGTCTATATGGGTGATTGTCTGTGTGTCATTCGAATGTTACTCTTTTTGTCTGTCTTCCTCTCTTGTAATATATAGGCTTAACATGCCCCATAATCTGTTTCTGTTTCTCTGTCTGTCAGTTTGAGAGAGCTATATGACTGTTGTTTTCTTACTGTAGGTCTGTTTGAGGGTGCTGTGTAGCTATGGTTGTCTGTCTGTCTGTCCATTTGAGATTGCTGTGTGACTGTTGTTGTCTGTCTTTCTGTCTATAAGCTGCATGCCTGCCTACTGCATGTTAAGCTCTGGAATCTGTTGCAGCAGCCACCCCCACAGCCATGATAGGCATGTGAATGACCGTTTCCATTTTCTAGTCTCTCTTAACCCTGACCTTTCTGTTGGCTGCTCCCCCCTCCTCTCCCCTCCACTACTCACACTACACCTCCTTTATCCAACCCCGTCTTGTCACAGTACCACTCAATCCAATAGGTCAAACTAAATATAAACATCGGAACATGGCAGCTGTTACTAAAGCACCTTGTGTTTCTCTCAGAGTGGTTATGTAGAAGGGTACTGTGTGTGCATGTGTGCAGCCTCTTTCAGTCGTTAACTCAGTGTGGTGGTATGCCTCTGTTGAGAACATTATGTGCAGTAGCTGTAGTATAGTACAGTTAAGTACAGTATAGGCCAAGTTAAAAGTGTGCAGCATGAGTAAAAGCAATAAGTGAGTTATTTCCACTTTTTGGTCTAAGGAGGCTAGCGTAAAGCAAAGAAACAATGATACCTAATGTAGCAAAGCAACATTGTGGTATGCTAGCTTGAGTGAGCATTTAAGAGATTAATCTTGTATTAATGTTTTTAGCATAGAGATGTATCTAATGCATGCATAACATTTTGATTAGCATTGATGCACCATTGATCGTATAATAACAACATTGCTTCTGAAAATTGTACTCATGCATTTGCTCTTGCAGTCTCATAGAAGTTTTGTAATGCCAGCATACAATGTTTGCAGTGCTCTTTCAATTCTATATCACACACATACTACATGAGCAATATACAAATATATAAAGTACAAGCAACCAGAGCCTTACTAACATTTGCTATCCTAGATTAAAAAAAATAAATACAGATTTTTTTTAAATTAAGATATGATAAATATATTAGCTCGATATAAGTGTTGGAAAATAAATAATTAATTTCCCTCTTATTAAGATATGATTTGATTAATTTACCTTGGAGGGTTGGAGGAGAGCTGGGAGAAGAGGGGAGAAGATTCGATTAAAGTTCTCGACAACCTCCTGGCCCGAATGGGACACTTTTTATCCTCCCATTGTGACCCCTCACATTTCAGTCGCCGGCTAAAAAAAGAATGGCAAGCAACCGGAGAAGGGCGGTGACATTAAAGAAAACGTGCTGGAGTAACGCAGCTAGGCGTCCCATGCTATTGGGGAAAGGGCAAAGAGTGAATCGATTGGCGATGAGCAGGAGATGGTGAGAGGGAGAGAAGGATGGTGAGGAGAACAAATAAGTGGGAGCACATTAAATAATATGATATGCCATTTAGCAGACAGTTTTATCTAAAGCAACTTACAGTAGTGCGAGCACGCATTTCCATATGGTGATCATCATTACATTGCAAAAGCCATGCTCTACCTACTGAGCCACACAGGACCATATAGGAGTAAAAAGAGGGGAATATGAAGCAAAATCTGTAAGGTTCTGTATTCATTTTCTTAGTTCACCTTGTGTTCTTGAACGTAGCCCTGTTTCTTTGTGTTTTTGAACGTAGCCCTGTCTTTCATTTTTGTTCATTGATTTCACCTGTGTTAGTTACTCACGTGGTCTCATTAGCTTCTTATTTAGTTCAGTTCATTCTGTTTGTGCCTTGTGAGGTATTGTTCGTTTTTACTCTACTAAGCCTTTTCCTAGCTCGTTTGTGAGAACTAGTTATAGCCTTCAGTCCTAGTTTTGATTCACTTGCCTGTTTGCCTACATGTGTATGACCATTGCCTGCCTGTGACCACGTTTCCTGCCTTCTGCGAAGGCGAAATAAACACCTGCCACGTTCTGCGCGTGAATCTACACCTTTTTCTCCATGAGTTTCCTTACAAAATCAATGGAAGAGAGGGGAAAAGAGCTGAGAGGCCATGGGATGAGAGGGTTGGGGAATAAATGTAGACAAATATTCAGGTTGGAATAAAACTACATCAGGGATAGGGAATCAAGGGCCTTGAGTGAAAAGGTTTTATGTCTGCCTATATAGCAAGTTTTCAACGGACATACTTGTGACAAGACGTACAAGGTATAAAAACCACATCGTAATGCATTATACCTGTTGACTTTAAGTAAAGTGTTACCAAGGTTTCTTTTTTTGCATCTTTTCTAAAGATGGAAACCGCATGTAGGAATTCTCCTACTACAGTTTGAATCGGGAGTGATTCTACTTTAGTACTGTCTATTCAAATGAGATTCCTTTTCCTACATCTGAAATCCTGAGTCAACTCTCACAATCAGCCTGCTTTATTTTGCATGTATACACTATGAGTAAATAAGTATTTCATTATTTGTAAACATTTATCAGCATTACAATTCATAAGCATGTATAACATTTATAATGAATGAAGAAGCATTTAAACATTAATAAATATTCATAAACATGTATAATTCCTAATTAATGAAAGTTATTATAAACTGTAACTGGTTAAGCTATTATAAAGTGTAACCAGCTAAATTAATATAAAGTGTAACCAGCTAACCAGCTGTGAGTTCATAGAGTTCCACCAGTGAGAACGTTCTGAAAGAGCAATCCAGGAAGTTAACCCCGGCTAACCTGCTCTTAGAAATCCAATCCAGACATGGCAACACTGTGTGATGATCCTTGACCTTTTCTTGACCTTCTATGGCCTTTGCTTGGCAGGGCGGGATCAGGTGGTTGTCTTGGCAAATGTTGTACATGCATGAAAACATTGTACTTGTCTCACCTCGAGTTTGTTTCAATTTCTGATCCAATATATATGTTGATTGTGAGGTTTACTCACGGTTTGGTTTTGACACATCTCATCTCCTTTAGATGGTGTGTGGTGTATGAAGGAAATCTGAAGGCCTTGTGTGTTCACTGTGAGAGTAAAAGTGGGCTGCAGCTGTCAAATGCCAAATGTTGGCCAAATGCTGGGGCAAGTCATAATGTGATATGACAGCTCATGTCACACATCTTTAGGGCTGTACGTCGTTTAGCATGTAAACCTGCAGTGCGTTTGCTGAGGTGTAACCAACAATTACACACGGCCAATGTGTCGGAGACTGAGGCACTGCAATAGACTGTTGACTTCCTGAAAAGAGGCAACACGGAGTTGAGAATCAGCCCTACTCAAAGTTCTGCTGATTGCAGCATGAGCTTTCTCATTTTTGTCCTTTTATATCTCATGCAATTTCAACATGTGCCTCACAATGTGGTATTTAGGACTTAACAAGTTAATCAGTTATATATGCGTTTTAACTTGCATGATTAGTCATATAAAGACCATATCAATTAAACACTGTAAATAAGAGCATGTAACTTCAACGCAACATGAGAGCAAAGTGTAGTTATCATGTCAAAACTGGGTGAGACATTTCTCATGTGTTAATGATAGGGATGTAATGATTCACCAATGCATTGGTCCCCGGCACAGGACCCCAAACCAATCCAAATGCATGCATCGGTCAGAAAATAAATTTGAATGTTAAGAATTACCTCTAATCTTTTCGGACAACTGCGTCCTCTCCTTCAGTGTCGAACTAACCGAACTAAGTCGAACTAAGCAGGGGGCCAGCGGTATCTTCGCGATTAGAGAAGTGGCCAGCAATCGGAGTTTTGCCGGATCGAATCCCAGTGCTGACAGGGGAAAAATTCTGTCAGGGATGGTTGCTGGCGTCAATATCTCAGGTGCCACCTACTGCCGATGTTCCCTTGAGCAAGGAACTTAACCCCCTAAACTGCTCATTGGGTAATGTGCTCTGCTCCAACCTCTCTAACCTAATGTGTGTGTATATTGGGAGTTGGATAAAAGCAGAAGACACATTTCTATCTCGCGTGGACTTATAAATTATATCTTAATTATGTTGGGAGTCATTGATCTACAAGTAATTTTGAATGCCGAACAACCCAAAGCAATGTCAGTAGCATTGTCAAATTGTGCGCTGCTTCGCATGCTGACCGATGAGAGGTAGGCCTATTCCTGATCTGTCACATCTGCGTGTGTCACGTTCGTTGAAGGACGGGTCAGACCAAGGCGCAGCGTGATATGCGTACATGTTTATTGAACTGATAAACACACGACGAAAACAACAAAGGAAACTAAATGTGAAGTCCAAGGTAGCACACACAACATACCTTACACGGAACAAGATCCCACAACTAGACAGTGCCAATAGGCTGCCTAAGTATGGTCCCCAATCAGAGACAACGAGCGACAGCTGCCTCTGATTGGGAACCACACCGGCCAACATAGAACAGGGGTGTCAAACTCATTTTAGCTCAGGGGCCACATGGAGGAAAATATATTCCCAAGTGGGCCGGACCGGAAAAATCATGGTATATATAACTTAAAAACAACAACTTCAGATTGTTTTCTTTGTTTTAATACGATCAACATTAAACATAAAGCTGGAGCCTGAGGACAGTGTGTCCAAAATAGTACAAGCACAACATCACTATTAATCATAAAACACGTCAAGTTTATTTGAAAATTCTAAAGAAAAAGAACACACAAACACACAATGCCTCAGTGATTAACAGAACTGTTTCACAGATCACAGAACTATATCAGGGTGTCATTTCTCAGGAAGAAATGTAGATAAAAATAATGACATCCTGTTCCCCAAACAAGTGCAAGAACCACAGAGACAAGAATAGGTTAAATATACAAATAAAATAAATTAAAAACAATAGCACATCAACATAAAAACATATAAACATAAAGCTGGAGCCTGAGGACTGTGTTTCCAAAAGCACAATATCACTATTAATCATAAAACACCTCAAGTTATTTGAATGTTCTGAGGACAAAGAACACACAAAAACACAATGCCTCAGTGATTCACAGAAGTTTATCACAGATCACAGAACTATATCAGGGTGTCATTTCTCAGGCAGAAATGTAGATAAAAATAATGACATCCTGTTCCCCAAACAAGTGCAAGAACCACAGAGTCAAGAATAGGTTAAATATACAAATAAAATAAAATCAATTAAAAACAATAGCACATCAACATAAAAACATATAAACATAAAGCTGGAGCCTGAGGACAGTGTGTCCAAAAGCACAACATCACTATTAATCATAAAACACCTCAAGTTATTTGAAAGTTCTGAGGACAAAGAACACACAAACACACAATGCCTCAGTGATTCACAGAAGTATATCACAGATCACAGAACTATATCAGGGTGTCTCATGCAGCACTTTAAGTGGGGTTGCATAGTTTATTTGACTCCTGATACCTGGCATCTTTTAGCTTTCACCAGCGCATCAATATCAGGCGTCACATCCTGAGTGGCAGCCAACTTCAGGATGTGATTCAAGTGCTTGTGCGTGAGTCTTGAGCGCAGCTTTGTTTTATTTATGCTCATTACAGAGAAAACTTGCTCACAAAGATATGTGGTTCCAAACATGCACAACAGTTTTGCAGCGAGGGTTGTCAAGTTGGGGTAACCTGGCAAGAGATTCTGATAAAATGTGTCCAAGCCAGCTGCGGCAAATTTGCCCTTCAAATCCGAGTCACACTGCAAGTCTATTATTTCAAGTTGGATGCTGACGGGCAGAAAAGAGGGATTCACGGTGAATGGCGAGCAAAAAACATTGAAGTCTTTCTCCAGTTCACCAAAAATCTGAAAGCGTTGCTCAAACTCCCGTAACAGTCCCGTTATTTTATCTTTGAACCGCTTCATGTCTGCCACATGTTGGGTTGCGCACACATTTTTCAGACAGGGGAAGTGAGCTGCATCACCACCGGCGAGTTGCGTCTCCCACAATGACAGCTTCAACTTGAAAGAACGTATGCTGTCATAATACTGCGTGACAACTTTGTTGCGCCCTTGCAGCTGTTTGTTCAAGTTATTCAGGTGCTCTGTAACATCCACCATAAATGCAAGGTCCTGCATCCTTCTGCGGAATGAAATTCTAACACTGGTTTGCCCTTTTCTTCCATGAACTGTTCAATTTCGTCTCGTAAATCAAAGAAACGCCTCAGCACAGCACCTCGGCTTAACCATCTTACCTCAGTGTGGTATGGCAGGCCATAGATGTGGTCTTTCTCTCTGAGAAGGCTGTCAAACTGACGGTGATTCAGGCTTCTGGATCGGATGAAATTAACAGTTTGG